CTCGCCTACACCTTTTTCTTCTAAATCAATACAAAACTATTAACTATATTAAATTCTTTGAAGATTTGGATCTTAAATCTATTATTGATAAAAAAGCTAAATTGCAAAACCTCATTAATAATCGTCCTGGACATGATATAAAATATGTGGAATCGTATATTTACAAATATTGTAGTATTAATGATTATTAACGATTCTTTGATGAACTCTTTGAAACTAAAAAACGATATGATACACTATTAGTTATTCGACCCAATGAAACTTTACAACAATGGGCTATTCGTGTGAGAGTTCCTTTACAAGATCTGGTCTCTGAAAAGAAAAGAAGTGTATATCACATACATAGTTTATTTGGTGCATTTGGAAATTCTAAGCTAGTCAATCATAACTACTATAGACCTAGAATCCATAAGGCCAATATGGTGATATGTCTAGATTGTATGAAGCTTATTCATGTTGATAATATAAAACTAAAGAAAATATATGCTTCTACTCTCTATGGATATATTGAAAAGATTGAACTAGCAGATTTGATGAAATATCATTGGGATCATGAATGTAATAAACCTAAATCTCAAGATAGTCATACACGAATTATTCAAAATGCTTGGAGATGATTCAAAGAAAGGGAGCCATCAAATGCATGACTTGCCTGGTTAAGTTTACCAAATGATAATATTTCAGATGATGAGAAATTTCTAGGCCTAACTTCTCATAAAGTGAAAAATCCTCAAACTTAAGAATAATTCAATCTGTGGAATATTAAGCAAATTGCAATGTACAGGAGATGTAACTCTAATATGGTCAGCCACTTTATTAATAATAAATACGAAGAATATTATATTCCATATGATTGGATAAGTAGAAAAAAAAACTAATTACAGGATAGATTTCAGAAACGTCTTTTGGAATTAACAGTATAATATATATTTAAAGTTTTGCATATGAGCCTATTTTACCGAACACAAAAATCTTCTATTGTAGATAATATGGCGAGTTTATTTTTTTTTTATACCTACCTCAATTTCAATACCGGCTAGAGACGTGCATCTTCTCAATATTATAAGAAGTAGCGAGTAAGATGTGTTTATATTAATATGACAAAATTATAGCAGAAAAAATAATTATTAATTGTCAAGCCTTATTCTATTTATCTAATTTCAATGGTGTGTCCCAACCCAATCTAATTGCGAGAGAATCATCAACTGCCTTAGTAAAATCAAAGACCACGAAATCTTGATCTCGCAAATGTTTATCAATAATTTTGAATGCTTTTTTTAGATTATCCGTATATTGTTACACAATTCTATAAATGTTGTCTCGGGACCCCCATTGTTAAATAATGCAAGATGGCTCAGATTTTCACAGATAATTTTAGGAGTTTGTGTATATTTCTGGCTCATATATATGGGTGAGATATTTTGATGCTGGCCACTAATGAAGTATGGAATAATTCGTTCTTGTACTTTCTTTGGCTTAGCACATAAATCCTCAAATACAATAACTGTACTTCATTCTGGTGTGAATTTAGTTATATTTAGAATTTTATCTGAAGATAACTTTTTGAATATAACACCTCTCGATATGGTTTCGGGCTATTTGCAAAGATCTGATAGCTATTTTGTACAAGTTGCCATTTAGGCTCAAAATGCTTGCCTATTAATACAAGGTCATCATTTCTAATATACCGCTGACCTTTTTTCTCCTTGAACATACATTGTAGTTTGTTACCAAGCATAAGATTTATAACCATGTTAGTTTTTTTGCTATGGGAGCCTCCACATACCAGTAATCTAAATGAGACATCTGGTGAATACTTATTACCTTTCATTTGTTCTGAGGATTTGTTAGATGTCTCGTCGATATTGTATACAAATATAGGTATTTTTTCTTCTTTCATCTTGATTAATCTAAATAATACTTATGTGTTTATTCTTTATGCGATAAATAACCTCTCTCTTGCAATTCACTTTTTATAAATGCATATAAATTTGAGTCGAATGGTATTTTAATCAGATCTATATCTTGCTTCTTGCATATCTTCCGCTTTTTTGGTTGAAAAGGTAATGTTGAATTATCATTTAAATATCCTTAATTATTATCAGAATATTGAAAAAAAGATTAACCTTAGAAGATGCTTGCACAATTGCTAAAAATCAGGGTAGACAGTGTCTTTCTACTCAATATACTACTAATAAAGATCCATTATTATGGTGTTGCTTGAATAATTATGAATGGCACGCATCTCTTGGTCATGTAAAATATAGCAAGTCATGGTGTCCACATTGTGCAAAAATGGCTCGCTGTACTATTGAGGATATCAAACAAATTGCTTTTGTCCGAAATAGAAAATGTCTTTCAACTGAATATATAAATAGCAAAACTGTTTGTTATGGTATTGTTCAAATTATCATGAATGGTATGCACGCCTTAATAATATAAAAAATCAAAATCAGTAGTGCCCATATTGCGCAAACAGAGTTTCCCATACTATTGAAAATGCTAGACAAATTGCAATTAGTCAAAATAGAAAATGTCTTTTAACAGAATATATTAATAGTTATTCACATTTATTCTGACATTGCTCTAAAGGACATGAATTTCTTGCAAGTTTGCATCATGTTAAAATTAGTAACTTTTGGTGCTCAAAATGTGCAAAAGTAGCTCATCATAGTATCGAGGATGCTAAAAAAATTGCAATTAGTCGAAATGGAGATTGCATATCTACAATTTATTATAATAATCACTCACCTTTACTATGGCGATGTGAAAATAACTATATATTTACTGCTACTCTCAATGCTATTAAAAATCAACACACCTGGTGTCCTTTTTGTTCAAAGAAACGTGAGGATTTATGTCGCAAAATTATAACAAAATATCTTGGTCCACCTTCGCCAATTCGTAAACCCGATTTCTTAAAAACTCCAGAATACCCAACTGGACTAGAACTCGATATTCCATACTATGATTACGGCTTTGCGATTGAAATGCAAGGTATACAACATGAACGTCAAATCAAATTCTTTCATCCAAATTTTGAAGATTTCAAGAAACAGCAAACTCGGGATCAACTCAAGGAAGAACTCTGCAAAGAAAATTGGATAGCATTAAGATATGTTTGGTATTATGAAGACTCATTTGAGAAAATTTTAGTTATTCTTCGAGAACGGGTCTTATTCCTTAACTGTAATTATTCAATATCTGTATTTGGTAGATAACTTTTTTCGATTAATGTAATGCAAATGTATAAAAGCAAATCACACGTATGCAGGACTTCGATGAGGTCTATGCCTTCTCTTTTATATATATCCTGCTTTTTTTAATCGTGCTTTTATTGTGCATCTAGGTCAGCCTCGCCATTAGGATGGAAGTGTTTTGGGACTAATCAATAGTGTTGTACTCCTTGATGCTCCCATACCAGGTACAATTCCTCATTATATCTATTAAGTCTGAGTTCACCTAAAAATTTATCCGAACATGGTGAGAACTTCTTATCTAATAAATCTTCAAAAATGTATTTACAGCATCGCTCATTCTTATTGTGAAAACAAAGTGTACACTACTCAAATTTCGTTGCAATCAATGGAAACGGGTACTCAAACTGATGCAGTCCATTTTCACAAGTCCAAAAGAATACATTCTGATTATTTATTTGCCCAGTTTTAGCTAAGATACTTCTATCACGTCTTCCAGCATATCGTTGCATCCTGTCAAATTCATTATTAGAAATACGAATAAAATGTATCAATCCAGAGGGGTGATATTTTTGTATAAACTCATCAGATGGGTATTCAACCTTTTCAGGATTCTTGATTACTTGGAGCTCCTCTCTTTTAAAAGGTCTTTTGGGATTACGATCTATTAAATGTTTAGTTGAATCAATTGGCTCATCCTCAAGATAGTATAAGACTGGCTGTGGTAGATTTTTACTAACAATAACTTTTTTGATTTTATA